ATTATTGTAAGTGTACTTGGTCGGTGTTTAGTACGATGGATATAGACGGTAAAGTACACAAAACGTTGTGTAGATCTAAAATGGGATATACCGTTGGTCTATGTGGGCACTGGGCAGCTATGGATTATGCATGACATCCCCACTCTGGGTGCTTGCAACGTGACTTAAGTGAATGGATGGAACAACAACCAATGTATGTCTGCCCTGGGAATATGACCTCCAATCTGAGCATGTTATGACCAAAAAGACATGTAATGTACTAAAGAGGAGGTAAACAATACAATGTACATGCACGCAATACATAATACAATGAGCCATTACATGAGGGTTGTCCCCGTACCTAGAAGATGTCAAAAATAAATGAGATTGAGCAGAGAGCCAATGGGGAAATGTGGCTTTAGTTCTACAACCTTATTTGTAGTTTTGGTTTATGCATAAGATGCATCCTGTCAATTTTTCATGCAGAGTGTAGCAGGGCATAGATAAACACAAACACATAGTCGCATCCAAATGTGCTCTCACATGCACAACCAGTCAGATGTGCAGATGTTGCACACACACACACAAATACACACGTGTTGAATATGCAGACACATGTAACGAGAAGAGAGGGAGACTGTTAATTAACTAGAGCTCGTTAATTCTCTTTGAACCGACAGCAAGGAGGTTTACACACTAATTACCTTGATGACTGAGCCGACCTGTGCACACTCGCACACAAGCACCTGCTTGCACTACCAACGCGCACACACACACACACACACACACACACACACACACACACACACACACACACACACACACACACACACACACACACACACACACACACACACACACACACACACACACACATGTATTCTCACAGGCTGACATAACACATCTTGCAGTCTTTGAAAGTTTCACACTCATACGCACCAATAAAACACAAACATAAAGGTGTGAAGTCTCACTCGTATGCATAAGCATATGCACAACACATCATGCACAGAAATGAAAGCTATATTAGGATTTTCTTTCACAACACCTTGAGCTTCAAGATTCAGATAGCTCAGTTTATTCTGAGTTCAGCTCCACCATGCATCTGTGTGATTCATACCTCTGCCAGAAATAGCTTCACAGTAACCATACTGTATCAGGATGCTAAATGCTTGTACAGTACTGTTGAATTGCATGCAAACACACACACACACACACACACACACACACACACACACACACACACACACACACACACACACACACACACACACACTGAACACACCCACTCAAACACACTTGCAAATGAGTGAAGCTCCCATGTCAGTATTGAACTGTAATGGCCCGTGTCAGATTAAGAGGAAGGTTTTTTTATGTCCTCTGTCAAACTCAATTAATATTCCATCAGGCATGAATTCATAGGCCACACTGGACCTAAGCCAATTCATCTGTATGTGTCTATGTTCGAAAGTGTGTGTGCGTGTGCGTGTGCGTTTGCGTGTGCGTGTGTGCGCTCACATGTATGAATGTGAGTCCACATTCAGTTGATATTCAAGATAGTAATCCTAAGCCTTTATTGTTATTAATATAACTCTTTCACACATACAGTACACGCACAAACGTGCTATGTGAGTCAGGTAGAAAAACATCAAGTAGTGGAAGCTCTTATAGCAGACTAGAAATAAACTGAGATCACTTAAATGAGCAAAGAAGATAGAGATGTGAAAAGCTTTCAAAAAGACCGTATAGAGAAAATGAATGGAGTAGTAGAGAGAAAGTGACATAACAATGATAAGAAGCCAGCAAGACAGCGACAGAATGTGTAGACTGCACAATTAGTTTCATTTAATGACTAAAAGATGCCAAAATGTGGGATTTGGCAAAAGAATAGAAGAAGAGCTTTGTCAATGAGCAGAAGACTTAGAGGTAGAGAAGACGGAGGATGAGAGGAAAAGATGGGTTAGAGAGTGTAGTGGAGTTATGGGTCAATAAAGTGTGCTCTGGGGAAGGGGAGAGGGACTCATAATGAGGTCAAGGACATATCATCGATCGCCACATCATAAAACTGACGGCAAAGAGAAGAAGAGGGGGAGGTGGGGGGGGCAACAGAGAAAAGAGGGAGAGTTACAGCTGTGAAAAGCAGAGTTGACTGCAGGATCGTCCGAAGGAAGGGAGGATAGAAAATAAAATGATCAGGATGAAGAAATGAAAGGGGGCAGCTCTAGGCAGAAAGAGGGTTAGAGGGAAATTGAATTAGATGGAATCATTGCTGAACAGAAGAATTATGTACAACACAGACAAGCAGAAAAACCCTGCACACATACACACACCGGCAGCAGTCTTCAAATAGTACTCTCACTCCTTGTCTGTCAATCAAGTACAACCCTTTAGCACAGGCTCGATTTCTACAGTACTCCGGACCACAGTGTGTGTCTCTGATGTCTTAACATTACAGTTACAGAACTAAGCATCCATTGTTCTGGAATACTGTATATCATGTGAGACAAGATTTCAACCTGTATAGTACTAATGATATCCCATCAGCCTCAGCTGTGCGTTGTACTCTTTGCATTGTGTTGGTATGCTTATACGCTATATACAGGGAACATGGTCAACATTATACCTGCCTGGCACATTGGTCGAACAAGTACTCAGATCTTTTACTAAAGTAAAAGTATAAAAAAGTCTTACTCAAGTAAAAGTATATATATAAAACTAAAGTATAGAGTTTTATATTCAAAATCCACTTAACGTACCTCAAACTTCAATGATACAATCGTTTTTTTCTCAATTTATATTTCATCATTACAATTTATAACAGTAGCTACATATTAACTAAACCCTCAAACATATAATAATTACTAAACTCTCAAACATATAATTACATAAAAAGTAGAATATTTGCCTGTGAGTTGTATTGGAGTAGACGTTTGAAGTACCATAAAATACAAAACTGAAGTTGAAATATCTAATATTGTTGCTTATTATTGTGGTATGATCCTTGCTGACAAGTTTCTAAAGCCTGTAAGTAAAGAAATAAAGGAATCATTTTTAATGTAGATACTTATTTAAAAAAAAAAAATCTTTACCCATTACTTCTCTGGGCAACCATACACCCACGTTTTCTTCTCCGTGCCATTGCCCTTATCTGAAAGAGTGAAAAGGAGGTTGGACTGCTTCGTCTAAACTAAAGCACTAAAAATACATTGGTCTCTCTGAGGAGAGTTAAGATGAAGCCACTGAGATTCCAAGAACCGCTGCTTTTTTATTAGAATCTAATATATCTTCCTCAGTCTTGCTCGTGCTCACAATCTCTGCTGTTTGAGTCACTTTCTCTCTTCCCTTTTTAATTTAAGCGTCTTGAGAATGGCAGAAGAAGCAAGTGCTCTATTTTAATTCATTAATTTCCCCCTTCCTGCTTAATTAACTTAGCTGTGTTCCTCTTTTCCTCTTTGTCTTGCATGTTCATTAGGTGAAATGTTTAATTTTTCCTTTTAATTTGGGTGTATGGAAAAAAATGTGTTCAGTTTGGGCTTTTATGCCAGACGTCCATCCGTTTCTCTACAGATTATCCTGAGGCGGCATTCCCATCTGAAGTTTTTCCCGCCCTAATCTGCGTCTTCTCTCTGTTCCCTCCGTTCCACACTACACGCTGCATGTTTCAAAGCAAATCTAAATTGAAAGGGTTGTAATTTTGCAAGGAGATAAATGGGTATGAGAGGAGATAGGAGGGGTGTTGTATGGAAATAGGCTTTGGTGGTGCATAGTGATCCCTTCAGGCCAGACGGAGTCATTTAACTCCCTCTTATATTCTCTCAGCGTGAACTTATTATGGCCTTTTTTTCTCTCCAAACTGGTTTGCTAACTACACTGGGGTGACTTGTGTGTCAGAAGCGCAAGCAGGTGTGATGCTCAGTTGGAGTGAATGATTTGATTCGTTAATGAATCACCACCACTCCACACAGATTGGAAGATCTGTCAGTGGTAGATGGGCAGTTGGTTTGTGCTAACAGTGATGGGTGCAGTCTGCCTTTCAAAGCCTCATTGCTGCACTGCATAATAACACAAATAGACGTTTTTGTGTTATTGTTCGGATCCCATTTATATTAAAAAAAGAGTTTTTTAAGCATTAACAATACAAATGATAAACTGTAAACAAAACCAGTCTTAAAATCAACTGAGCTGAGAGCAAAAGGCAGATGAAGGATGGATTTGTTGTGAACAAATTCTATGAAAAAGACCAAAACCAACAATGCTTAATCCATATTTTAGTAGTCTCCAACTTCTTTATCCTGTCTGTGGCAGTCGGCCCAAAGACCATTTGTTGCCAGCCATAATATATTTCATTTTAAATACTTTCCTAACAGATGTACACTCTAGTAAAGTTTAGCAAACTTAACTCAGACAGAAGTAAATAGTGTTGGGAAAAATTCTTAGCTGATGATTAATGCACATTTAGACAATAACTGAGTATTTATACAAATAACCATCCTGTACTCAGTAAGGTGATGTACAGTAGTTGGGCCGGACCATACATTAACTTGTTTTTATTGTACTTCATGTTTGATTATTTTTGGCAAATACATGACTCTAGTTTTTAAATATTATATCAAAATGGGTATATCGCAATATATTTAGTTGAGAATAATAGAAAATAATAAATATCTAAGTATTTTTTAAACTGGATTTAGTATTACCCAGCTGTTACTACTGGGCACCAATCCAGATGAAAAATAAGTGTCTTTGGGCCGGCCAGAGCTTTGTAAACATCAGCCATGTCGTCCAGCATTAATCTTAACTGGGATTAAAAGCCAACTGGAAACTTTGACGGACCACCGTGATTGGTTGATGACTATTACCCTGCATTGTAGCAGCTAAACTCATAATCCAGGCGAACACGATCAGATAATCTCAATATGTCTTTGCACACCCCTTCCCACTAGCCTAATCCTCAGATTAAGAATCTCAGATTAGGAATCCAGGATGATTAATCCTATATTGTGTGTGTGTGTTCTCTGCAGGGGACTCTTCGTCGGGTGACCTTCTCTGTAGTCAGCCAGCCCCAGGACGGAGGTTGCTATGACAGTGGCCTGGAAGACTCGGAGACCCCGAGCAGCAAGAATTCATCAGGGCCGAGACTGGGAGCCCTGCCTCTGCCCGAGGAAGGCTACGAGCGGACCACACCGGAAGGTAGTGTGGGCGAAGAAGAGCACGTGGAAAATGGTCAGAGCAACCACACACACGCACACACACCATAAACAGCCAACTAAATACATTCAGACTTGTGGTCAAAAGGCTACCAGATACATTCATATGTTGTCTCTATTGTGTGAAAAGCTTAGCCGTGTTTTTATTATACACACATCCTCAATCAGGGGCATACACACTCAAACACTTTGAAACCATGACATGGTGTCAAGGTTTCAGGTTTATTTCCTTATATGATGGGAATGTGTTTTGTAGAATAAAGCAATTGTCCTGGTATGTGCTGCACATATGTTTGTGTGAAAGCCTGTGTGTTTTGTGAAGAGCTTTTTAGAAAAGCTCTTCTGAAAAGCAATATGTGTGCCAGATCAGTGGCCTTGCCTTCAGTCCGCACCCCAAATCTTCCCATTCCGCAATAAAATTGTGTCTTCTACCATTTTCTACCAGGTCTTTGTCAAGGATGGAGAGAACCAAAAAGGGCTTTTAATTCTCTCCATTTTCTCTCTTTCCTTTGTAAATGCTAATGCAAGAGCTGGAACAACTGAAGCATCGCACCAAGGTCACATGACCATGAATTTCTGGGGTTAAATGTTGCTTTTTTGCCGACGAGTGAAATCTTGAGGATATTGTAGAGTTTAATAAGTTTCCTTCACGGTCAGATGGAGAGAGGAATTGAACAGATAATTGGCTGTGTTGGTTATAATTATACTGTATAATGATGTGCTTGTTTGGCTGCACATTCACTTACTGCTGCTGCAAATAGGCAACAAAACTGGAATTCGTTTTTAGAATGCAAAATACATATTGAATTTCTTATGTATGAATTCAAGTAAAGTAGAATTTAGAAAAACAGACAGTGACGTTTTTTAGTTGCTCATTAAATGTGTGTGGAATGAATTACAAAAACATCAAACAAAGGATAAAGTAGAGATTAAAAATCCTCTCTGCTCTGCTCTGATTGGTCCAACCTAAGAGTAGATTGATATATATACAAATACTTGTTCTGCTTTGTGAAGGCGATTTAACTGCTTGATGACAACCTCTTTGTGATCCAAACATTGCACATTTAAAATGTATGGGAGCTTTTAATATAGTTGATGGGTTTATTGTCTGCCATAGTTTGAGTTGTTGATCCAGCAGCTGTTATAGTTTTTAAGATGTGCATACACTAAAACCTGTTTATATTTGGAATGCTTACTTACGTTTTGTAACATGACACCTGCACAATTTCTATTATTGACAAAGTCACAGTAACCTAATCTGTCATCATTATAAGCCCTGCCTCCGTTTAACATGATGTCAGTATTGATTTATGAATGACTGGTTTACATAGATAATAACCAGAGGCTTTGACACTTGCCCTTGTTCATCAGTGACTCTGGTGGCCTCATTAACCTTTTGAACCAACACTCATGGGATGTTTTAGGTTCAATATATACCTTTAATGTTTTCTTGCATTCCAAGAAATGAAGACTTGTCACTCAAAATTCTGAATATTTAATTGGCCAGGATGGTTGTTTGTTTTGACCTCACCTTTCACCTCTAAAGTAATGCTGAGCACAGCTGGAATTTTTTTAACACTCTTTTGGAGTGAGAAATTTACATTTTGCTCTTACAGCATTTTTTGTTGCCTTTGTTCTTCTTTTCTTGGGGCAGGGGGTTACCATTTATTTTATGTTGTCTTCCACACCCGATGTTAAACTCATCTCCTTTGATTTATTCGATCTGCTCTCTTTTATTATTTAATGTTCATTTTGTTAGGAGTCGTAGAAGCCTAGTTGTTAGGACACAGGCCTTATAATTGCCTACAATCGATTCTGGTTGGTACGTTAGCTTCATGTCATAAAATCTTTAAAGTTTTCTCTCCTTTCAATCCTCTAATCCCTCTTTCTGTCTCTTTCCTGTGTTCAGATGCCAGACAGCTGCCAGACGTAGCCCTGACAGGAAAGTGTACCAGGGAGTGTGATGAGTTTGGCCACTCTGACACTTGTTGGATGCCTGTTCGCACTTCGCCTCGCCAGCGCCAGCGCCATGGCAGCGACCCCCCACGGCTCTCCACTTTCGCCCCTGATGACGATAATAACAATCTCCGTGGTAACGACCATGAGAGCGACAGCGAGAGTGCTGGCAGTGCGGGGAGCTCAGAACCCGGGGTAGTGATCAGTGGAGAAGGTCAGAGATTTCCCTTAGTCAACTCGGATCCTCTCGGCACCCTGGGTAGTGCAGACCGCAACAGGAACATGGGCGATCACAACCGTAATCTTCTGAACCGCAAGATGACTTCGGCATCCTATGACACATTTAGCAGTGCAGGCTTTGGGAGGCGCCAGCAGGACGAGGAAGGAGGAGAAGGCCAGAACCCAGCTGAGGTCATTCCCCTGACGCGGACAGGAGGGGACTACAAGACCACATCCTGCCTCACGTTGTCACGCCGAGAGGTCTACCTGTGACAGTCTTGCAATTGAGCTATCATCACCACACTACTCCATTTTCTGAAAAACAGGGAGGGTTAAGGAAAGATGTTTTCTAAAAGCCGTTCATCAAATTGAAACTTTTGGATTCTGGCTATTATTTATAGGCATCCTAACTTAAACAAGTGATGGACTAACTCTTCTGAAAGCTCTGAATAAGAGTACTTTCTTTAAAAAAAAAGTATTTTTTAACTACTACTGAAAGTTGCCTTTAGGCAAAGATCCTCTTGTATGTCCACATGGAGGAAGACAAATTATTCTCTTCTTCTTTGTACCTGAATCAAATGCATGCCTGATCCTCTGCCATAGAGGGATTTGTGTGAAGAAGAGAAAGACTGAGACTGAGTGAATCCTGATGCTTAACATGCCTCAGTTCATATAAAAACTTTAACTGAGGCTACAGCAGGCAAGATTTGAACTCATCTGGTGAATCATCTGCTGAAAACCACTGAGGTCTTATCAAATAGATGAAAATAAATAACGGGTCTTCGATTGAGTTATTTGGATCCAACTCAAATCAATCAAACTCTCAAATTCTCATGCCTAAAAAACTCTGTTGTAACAAGCAAAGATATTAACCAATCAAACAGCTTATCCCGTGAGAACCTTAACAAGTCTTAAAAAAGTATTGAAGAACTGACAAAAGTGTGTCACTGTACAGTTATATTGTAGAAAAACTTGCTGATCTCTTAAATCAGGTATCTTTAAAAACAAATGATTCAGAACAAACTTCAACAATGTGAAAATGCCTTTTTTTTATGGCAGTCAAATGTAACCATTCAGAATCCAAGGTTCCCATAGTGTCAGTAGTGCCACTGAATTCCGGCGTGTGTGAAAATATGTCTTCATTATTTTTGCCTTTACACCCAGTCTGTATGTATATATTGTATATGTGTATTTGATAAGACGGCAGTGTTATTCCTTGCCACTGTCCACCGTTTCAGAGTAGACTGAGGTGCTGTGTCCATTACACGCCTACAATATCCAAACAGTGTTCCTCTATCATAACTGTTCTTTCGCACACACACATGCGCACACATATACACATGCCGCATGCACGCACTTACACATACACACAGACCTAAGCATGACAACAAAAACTCATACAGTGCATTTACAGAATGTGAACATGCATAGCGCCACAGATTATGACATGATTCAGTGGCTGTGAAACATAGACTATATAATAACTTGCATTAACTTTCATTCAGAAAACATTAGGCACACACACACACACATCATATTAAGTAAAGAGACAAATTCATTTAAGGATTTGCGCAATGCTCGATTCATATGCACTGTGTGTATGTGCTCATCATTTTTTTACATATTGCCTCATTAAACTAGCCGTAGCATTTTGCCTGCTCCCCCAAGCAAGTATTTAAACATGAAATGTATTTAAATAATGACTCATCCCTCTGACTGATGTGTGGAGATACATTAAAGGGAATTTCAGACATGTCATCTACTGTATGTAATGATACTGTAAGTAGGACTAATAGAAAAACCAAATTTCTTTAAGAAAAAAAAGGAAATGAAAAAACTGCATGAAAGAAAGATAATACCTTTTTTTCTCTCTTTTCTAAACCATACGCCTTTTGGATACCACGCCTATTTGGATACATCTGTATTTTATGTAAGTGCCCACGGGGAAATGGAGATAATGATGGCAGCAAGTGAGTTAGTTTCAGTGGATTAAACTGTTCTTACTTTATCATGAGTGAGTTTTGGGTAACCTTGGGCCATTCTGTCAGTTCCCATGGCTTGAAGTTGGCACAATGTGTCCCGCAGGCTGTAACAAAAAGGAACACAATGTAATGGCAGCGCAGAGTTGGCTGTACTCTTTGCACCGCACAGTGCCGACCTGAACACGCCCTTGCCGCTGTGCTGAACTGCACAGATAACAGACTCCTTCACATTCGTCCTCCTCACAGCTACCGCACGACTGCAGACACACTCTGCTGCACGGGGCTGAGGAGTGGGTGTGGATCAAGGCCAGCACATCTTAATTCCCATCATCAGTGTGTGGTTCAGTAGTGTGATAGGAATAATAGGGTTAGGTTGTCCCTGTGGTCTTAATGAGTTTCTTTTCTGCTCTCTTCCCCTCCCTTTATCTGCACTGATCTCATTAATGTTCGGATTTGGCAAATGTAACACTGCTGGAAAGCTGAAAATTGCCAGTAAGCGTGTCTCTTCATTTTACCGGTTGTTATGAATCAGATAAGACGAAAGAGACATGCTTGTGCTTGATGTGCTACAATTGAGTTCACAGATCCTTGTAGAGCAAATAATTAGTCAGAAAGGAGAGTAACACTCAGGTAAGATGTGCAACAATGTTCCACTTGTTAACTAACTACACTGTTGCTGCTTGACTGTCCCCTCACTGAAAGGTAACCATGTGGTAACAGTGAAGTAGGGAGTCTTCATATTACAACGGTAATCATCCTAAGAAAGGGGTGTGTTCATGTGCGTGATTACACTTTGTATACCTGTATATACCTTGAACTTTACAACTCTGTGAATGACTCCCTTTAGCTTGTTTAAGGCCACTGATGTGCTTACTCCCTAAGCTTTCATTACCCCCAAATCCCCAACATAGCTGTTTACTGAGCTCTGTTACTGATGGACTGTGCTGAAGAACTTAAAGCCTAACGCATGGAGTTAATCTGTTGAAAAGGATTTGGTGAAAACAACCACAGCTTCCTCTGCTTCTGCACAGCTGCTTACTCTGAGAAACAGAAGGACACATGCTCTTTCTCTGGGAGAAAGAGTGGAGATAAGGGTTTCTCCATCCCTTGGAGGCGAGACATTTCCTGAAAAACTAACGTCCATTTAGTACGTTTTGGACAGAGACTCTTGACACGGCCCTGCCTTCTCAAAGTGACAGATATTTCAACAAACTGCTGTTTTATGGCAGTTCCATGATGGCACCTTTCAAACCTTCACATCGAGATTCAAGGGAACTTGCTGTACATGAATCTGTGTGAGTGTGTATCTTTTTTTATACTGCACGTTTAAACATGAATATCTTTCAGTCTACTGCAAAACAGAGAGGGGAGACATACAGAGAGGAGCGTAACTCGGAGATGTATCACCTACTAATCGGGACATTTTGAAAAAAAAGACACTTTGGCGCAAATCATGTAACTGTCATCCCCTCGTGCTGTTAACCTTATAGCCATGTACAGATAAAACTACACTGTAGAACAGACAACTGGAAACCATAACAGACAATGGCATGCCTAAGGTCTTCAAATCTGCACTTGAGAAAAAATTAGAAAAAACTGTTATTTTTATTTTCCTCTTCTTTGTTTTCTTTTCTTAAGGGGCTGGCTCTGTTTTTTGCTGCTCCCTTCCTGTAATTACATAATGAACTAATTGCATTTGCTATGACGAGGAAGATGAAGAGATGCCGACGTATGGTTTGGTTTGAGGAAGAATCGTGTAAAAGTTTGACTTTGACATTAAAAACTTCAAACACTCTTGATTGTCTGTTAACTTAACGAAAAGGGTTTCTCACCGTAAATATGAGTTGTACAATGGTTGGGATACTCAACAACCAAACCAAATATTTGCCTCAAGAACATCAGTTTACACAGGGTTTACATACTATGGTTAACAGAAATCTTTCTCCCAGCATAACATTTTTCATCTACCAACTAGCTTTAAAGGATCTGCAAGCATCCAGAACAATAGCAATCTATCAACATTATCAACTTGATGGAAAGTTACAGGAACTCGTATTGATAATTGCCATTTGTAATTGGAAGTGACCTTAGGGCACCTTATTAGAAAGTGGCAACAAAATGTTGAGAAAAAGATCTTCACTCAAGGTTAACTTGCTTGCTTATTCAGGAGCTCTTGAGTGTATATGTACAAACTCACAATTCCATTAGAATTGAACAAACTGCATTTGACTGAGGACCATATGATACGGTTGTAAGCTCCAGAACAAGTGACAGATTTGTTTTGACATCTTCTGTTTCCAAGGTCAAGAATAAAGTGGTAAGCTTCCTTTGTTAAACAGTGTAAAGCCCAAACCACAGGACAACATCCTTCCGCTGAGTAGAATGACACCTTGATACTCTTGTTTTAATGTGTAATGTCAACTTGCACCTGACTGATACACATGCTGACAAAAATATATGTCAAAAAACACACACATTAACTTTATCTTTAAAAAGGCTAATTGTCTTAACTGGATTATGCTGCAAAAAATGTAGACGGCAATTTGCACTTAGACTTATCAGAAAATACTTCAGAGGTGTTAACTGCTGCAAAGATTAGTGTGAAGGACTAAAGATGGTAAAGAAAAAAACTGCAATCTGTTTTTCCTATTGTTCAGCAACACTGACACCATGTGGTCATGAATCAGTAATAAATGTGTTTCTGCCAGTCCACATGGTATCAGCCATTCTTTGTTTAAAAATTATTTTGGCCATATGAACATTTGAATATGAAAAGCAGACAGACAAGGATTTAGTTTATCAAAAGATACTTTCAAAACTAGAACCAATATTGAAGAGCTATAAATAGGTTTATATTTGTATGTTCAGTACAAGGCAATTTATTTGGGCTTAGCAAAGCTGACAGCTGGAAGATACAACTGTCAATTTAATTTATAGCCATCTGGAAAATAATCATTCATGAGTAGAGTAAATCCTGGGAAATGGTGATGAAGCTGTGGCTGCCTCAGTGGTTTGGATGCATCAAACATAAAGAGATACATTATTCAAAAGGCTGATAAGCAATCATTCATTTTATGTATAGCATAAACAACACTACAAATACTACCAACACAACACACATGTTTAAATGTTCAATTACCGTATTATTTTTCAACAACAAACTAGTACTTGTCCAGAGACCCATCACTTAATGTTGACCCACTGCCACTAGAGCTTTCAAACCATTTTCACCTTAATATCCACATCACAGGTTGAATATAATTTTTCAGTTGTTGAATTAGTTTTTATCATCTGGTAGGGTTTAGTGAAAATGTCAATGTATGGCCTTCAAGGTCATACAATTGTGTATCTTTATTATTTGCAATTAGTGTTATCCAATGTACTGAAATGCCAGCATGTGTCACAACCAATGAAAAACTGTTTTTAACTGTAATGATGAATTACTGACCGCAGTATGAGGTCTTCAGAAAAGAACAGTCCACACATCACATTTCCAGAAGGACCAATTGTCTGCATCCTGCAATAAAGCCATAAAAAGACACATAAAAGAAAAATCATTAAATCATACAATAAAAAGGTATTAGCAACCTTTTCGGAAACATCGGAAGCATCAGGTATCATATCAATCAACTTCTCGTTGTAAGTCATCACATATAAGTGCCGACCATAAAAGGCTTTGGAAATAAATCACACCGTTCCGAGAGATAAATGGACAAGGAGTTGTCTACACCGTAAAGACAAGGATGTCAGTTTCTTTGAACTCTTGATTAAATTCCAGGGATAGACCCAGTGGATGTGCATTTTATGGATTTGTTAAAGATAAAGGAAAATGTTGTGAGGTAGGCGCCCGGTGAGGTAAACCGCACAATGTTACCCTCCTCATACACACTGTCCAGTATATCAAATGCTCTTTGGAGTTCTCGGATGCTTTTAGGGGCTTAAGCAAACTCATTTTTCTCAGTGGAAGAAAGCTGAAGTGAATTGCCTTTACAAGCAGAATGAGAGGGCTCATAGCTTCAAAGTGAAAAGATACAATCATGTAATGTGTTTTCTGATGTTCAGTAAGTTAACATCTATAGCAGAGTGCTGCAAACCTCCACACCAAAGAAACATTTAGCATCACTGCAGCTGTGTATTACTGTAAGCCCTGCAGATGTGATGAACTCTGTCAGTGCTTTGTTCCTCTGTTCAGGAAAGCCTTGCAGCAGAGCTGTAAACATTTCTATCCAATGCGCAGGCTGTTGAAATGAGAGGTGAGGTGAGAACCCAGTTGAGTATAAAAGATTATTTCACAGAAATACACTCAACTCAGCCGTCTCTCGCGTTTGCCTGGTCAAATGAGCAGCTCTTCATTTTTGAGTATGCGATTTATCGCGCCTTTATACGTTAATAGCTGAGAAGCGGCACTGACACAGTACAAGAGTAAACTAATGCATGTTTTTTCTGCTTTATCTGCGAAGATAAGATAGAAAACTGACACTGTTTGACTCAGTCCTAGTTTGACTGCTACCACTAATACAATGAAGTACTTTTACTGTGTACTGTAGTAATACTCTGTCAAACTCCCCTCCTGAGTACAATAATGCATGTTTTCTGCTATATTTGTTGAGGGATAAAAGGATTTTTTGCTATAAGTTCTACATGGAATTGGTACTGTTGTACTCAGTACTACTTGGACTACTACCATAAGTACAATCAAGTATTTTTACTGTGTACTTTTTGAATAATCCTCTGTCAAACTCCCTTCCTGAGAACAATAATTATTCTGTGAACTTTGATGAGAGATACAATGATTTTTTGCAATAAGTTCTACATGGAATTGGTACTGTTGTAATCAGTACTACTTGGACTACTACCACAAGTACAAACAAGTATTTTTACTGTGTACTTGTTGAGTAATCCCCTGTCAAACTCCCCTCCTGAGTACAATAAAGTCTCTAAAGACTTTCCAAAGTGTAGCTGCTACATGTTTATTACCAGGTAGGTTTACACGTAGGAGGAATTTGACTTGGTGTCGTGGTAAAAACATAAAAGTAAAACATGAATTCGAAACACAGGTAGAGAACTAGAAAAAAATATAAAAAATAATAAAAGTATAGTAAAAAATATAACAAAAAACATAATTTACATTGGAATGGAATGGAATATAAAAGGAATAAAATATGGAATAAAAATTCATTTCATTTAATCGTTTATTTGTACAATGCACACGAATGGACACTCAAGACAAATGCTTCAAATGTAAATATGCCGGATTTTTAGCTTTTAGCTAATTTCCACCCGCAGTCCCTCAAATACAACATATAAGAACATGACATTTATATACATAGCAAAAATAAATACATGATACGCAAAAAGAGCAAGAGCAGCATATACAAGTATTTACCACATGGCAGTACAATGTAGCAGCTACGACATATAAAGTGCAAGAGAAGATACAAGAGCTACATAAAGTGCAAGAGGAGATGTGTTAAAGTGCATTTAGCAGTGATTGCACGTCTGGTTGTTTCTCAACCATTCTTTGAGTTGACCTTTAAAACTATTGAGAGTGGGACAATCCCGTATCTCAGTTGGGAGGCTATTCCATAATGAGCTGCCTTTAATGGAGAGTACATTTTGTCCAAAAGTGGTCCGTCTATGGTGGACTTCACAGTCTCCTCTGGTTTCTGACCTAGTGCAGCGTCCAGTGTCTTTTTTGTGGATGAATTCCCCTAAGAGAGGGGGGCCAGTCCATGTAAACATTTGTAAAAAAAAGCACATCAATCAATCAATCAATCAATGTTTATTTATATAGCCCAATATCACAAATGTTACATTTGTCTCAGTGGACTTTACAGTTTGTACAAAATATCAGTATGACAATACGACACCCTCTGTCCTTAGACCCTCACATCGTACAAGGAAAAACTTCCGAAGAAAACCCACAGTTTAAAGGGAAAAATGGGAGAAACCTCAGGGAGAGCAACAGAGGAGGGATCCCTCTCCCAGGACGGACAGACGTGCAATAGATGCCGTGTGTAAATTGAAAATATAATACATTTGCAACATAGGTAGTCCAAATGTTTGGAAATGCACGTGTGTACAACAGGAAGACGAATCCACGAGGATATCCATCCAGGACCTATGATCCAGGACCACAGCCACGACTCAAGATCCAGGGCTCGCGATCCAGGACAGAGGAGCGCAGGATCATCCATGACTCCGGATCCCGGCGTATATAGACACCAAAAAGAAAGACATTTGGGGAAGCTGGGTTAATCGGAACATGAGAGTACACAGGTATAGACAGAGAGAAGGAAGAAGTAAGATGTCCCCCGACAAACTAAGCCTATATCAGCAAAACTAGGGGCTGAATCTAATCAGCCCTAACTATAAGCTTTATCAAAAGGAAGGTCTTAAGCGCACTCTTAAAAACGGATAGGGTGTCTGCCGCCCGAACACAAACTGGAAGCTGATTCCACAAATGTGGAGCTTGATAAGAAAAGGCTCTGGCTCCCATTGTACTTTTAGAGACTCTAGGAACAACCAACAACCCTGCATTCTTGGAACGCAATGCCCTAGTAGGACAGTAGGGTATAATGAGTTCTTTAAGGTAAGATGGCGCCTGCCCATTAAGGGCTTTGTAGGCGAGAAGAAGAATTTTAAATTCTATCCTGTGTTCTATAGGGAGCCAGTGTAAGGCAGCCAGAACAGGAGTAATGTGGTCCCTTTTCCTAACTCTGGTTAGTACACGAGCTGCAGCATTTTGAATCAGCTGAAGCGACTTGACTGACTTCTTGGTACACCCTGATAAT